CATCTAGCTCTTCTATCCATGTCTGTAACACCCATCAAATAACTGGGTTGAGACGATGCAAACAGGGTGTGTGAAACACCGATAGAGCGATTGATCAGTTTCCTCTGTGTATAAGAGAGCCAGCCCTCTTGCTCAGAAGCAAAAAACAAGAGAATTCCTGGGGTCAGTAGTGAGACATCTTAAATCCCTGCCTGAAGTGGCAGAGGCAGAAGCCATGCCACACTGACACCAGAGGACCAGAGCAGAAGAGCCACAGTTCTGAGACCCAAGACTACGAGGCAGAGGAGCAGGTGGGCTTCCTGGCCTGTGGAACAAAGCAGGGAACAAAGGACCATGTGGCTATGGGGCTGAGGACCAAAGACAGACATGGCTGCTGGCTGAGAAGCAGCACGTCTGTGGGCCAATATCTGAATCCTTACTGTTTACTGATCCTGCCTTCAACACTGTCTATGAGGTGTGTGTCGCCATTGTAGGGGGTTATCGAACTCAGCAGGGTAACAGAGTGTGGTGGGAGGAAACACTATTGTCACAACGGAGAAAAGAAAGATAGAGGTTGTACACATATGTGCCCTCTGCCTTGTGACCACTGCCCTTGGGCTGGTGTGAAGATGGACTCTCCTTCTCCCTTGGGCAGCCAAAGGAGACCATATGTACCTCCCACACACACCCAGACCATTTTCTTAGGTTACCAGTAGAGGGAGGGGAAGTCCGGGGCTAAATTGGGTAGCCCAGTGTTAACTTTAGTGAAGGGAAAAGCACTATACAATAAGAGGAAGGTTAGGAAAAAATGGCAGACCCACAAGAAGACACTGCGAGGTTTGTAAATTAAAGCAACAGAGGCAAATACTGTCATACACGCAATCCGGCAATAGTGCAAATTCAGACTTGGATAGATAAGCAGGTTCAAGAGGTGGGGAAAGAACAGTGGGACTATTCTCATGAAAATACAGAGGTATGGAGCCCTGTTGGTATAGTGTTCATATGGTGTGCTGATAACAGCAAGGTCAGCAGCTCAAAACCACCAACAGCTCCTCGGGACAAAGAAGAGGCTTTCTACTTCCCTTAAGAGCTATAGTCTTGGAAACCCACAGGGTCACTATGTGTTGGCATCGACTCGATGGCAGTGAGTAGGTGAAGGACCTTTGCGGCAAATACATAAATTAACGTGGTAGAGTACACAGGGGGCACTTCTTGGACCTAATCCTTGAAGGGAATGAGCTGCTGGGCACATGCCCAGGATTAGGCTCAGGTTGACTGAAATAACAGCTCACAATGATAATGTTCTACATCCTGTTTTGTCTTAAAACAGGCTTATGATGCAGCCATCTAAGGTGCAGCTTAAGATGGCTTATGAGCAGCCATCTAAGGTGCAGTTACTGGTCTTTCAAATCCAAGAGGAAAGCAAGAAGAAAAGCAACAAAAAAAAATCACTCCAATGACCTCATGGACTACACAAGCATCAGGCTCCACAACACTGAAATCAGAAAAAGTAGATGATACACAGCTACAATTACCAACTGCTATACAAAGGATCAAATTAGAAGATCCTGAACAGAGAGGGAAAGAAACTCGGAGCAGAACTCAAAATCCTAAGATACCCGGCTGTCTGGTCTGACAGACTGATGGAACCTGTGAGACCATGGCCTTCGGTGACCCGTCAGGTCTGAAACAGAACTCACCCCTACGTTAGAATAACCAACCCTGAAAGAGCCTAAGTGCCGCACTTATCCAGGCACAGGGGCTTAGAGAAGGAGGAGGAATAAAAACAGCAAACACAGGGAAGACGTGGGATAAATGATAGTACATTAAAGGGATTGAAATGGATGAGTTGAAACAAAATGTGTATCAATTGTTGAATGTAAAATTGATGATCTGCTCTGTAAACTTTCACCTAATTCACAATAAAGTGATAACAAGACCTTCCTGGTGGCCCCACTAGCAGGTTGATTCCTCCTTCTGGGAGACCTGCCTGCCTAAATGTCAATGAAAAGAGCGAGCAAGAGAAATAGGATCAAAAGTCACAGCATCCCTCGTCTAGCAGGACCCACTGCCTCAGAGGCCCACGCACCAAACTCTTCTTCGCTGCGATCGCGATGCAGATAGATCCACAGCTTGCGCCCAATGTCGTATTTCACACATGGGTCCTTTTCATAATGAAGCCGGTCCAGGGCACCACTCACCACTGTATTCACCTACAGACCAGAAGAAAGGTGAACGAGACATGCAGATCCATATAACATAGGAATTTTGGCTTTTGGGGGTTTTTTAAATAAGAACTTATTTTCTTGTTATTAAGAATACACACTGAAAACATACACGCTAGTTATTTAGACACTGGTTAGAAGTCAACTATACATAGATTCTATCTCAGTCTGGTTGTGACACTCCCAACGGCTCACCAAATAAATCATTTGGCAAAACAAGAAACCCTATGAGACTTTAAATAGTTTTTTTAAGCATTGAAGACATTTCTAGCTAAGTAACATCTTTAGTATATGCTGAAAGCAAGCTGGGCAACAAATTCATGGTTCTTTCACAGGATGCACTTTAGAGCATCGTTATATACTTTTGTTGAAATACCCTTTCCTCCCCTAGCTTATTCATTTTATTTAAATCATTACATTTCTTCATAAAACTCTAACTCATAGCCGCTTGAGTCTGACTTACAGCAATCCTTTCGGGAGGAGGAGACCTTCTCCTTTGGATTTGAGACCTTACATTTTTTATGAAAGTAAAGAGCCTCATTTTTCTCCCACCCATCTGGAACAAAGCAGAACTCAGATTTCTTCTCCATCCTACCTGTGTGCTGGTGACATCTGGTGCAAGAAATTGAGAGTCCTTGAGCAGTTCACAGATCTCCGCCCTTGTGCCTTCTCCATTAGGCAGCCGAGCTGCAGCATCCCGAACTAGCACAGGCAGAAGGTGAAAGGTCTCAGAGCCAAATCTACTGAGGAACAACAGCCCTGTCCCTTTACTGTTTCTGATGCGGTGAGGTTCCCTGCAGCTGTTTTCTCTACCTTACCAAGACTCGGCATTAGGTGGACACTGCCCCTTGGTGGCTGACAAGCTCTGCCACTTGAGTTTCCTGCATACTCTTCACTCTTGCAGGCAACAGGGATTCCATGAACACCTTAGAGTTAGGTGGGTCCATGAACTTGGGTGAGAAACAAAAAATTACATCTTTAACTAAAACTCTGCCTTTCCTTCAATTATGAACCAAGGTGACAAATCACCATAGTGCTAGCGCCTGTGACGTTAAAAAGTCACCGTTCCACATCACATTATGTTATCGCAGACAGCTGAAATGCTATTGCCACTCAGACTCGCCACTATTTGGAATCTCTGGGAATTTTAAGACCTGCTGCTGCAGCCTGTGATCTACCATTAAAAAGGACATGTATTTCTGCATCTATTTGCTTTAATACTCTGCTAGCAATCTCAATATGACAGGCTTCTTTTCTAACAGTACATGTAAAGTTTTTAAAGTTTAATTCAGAAGGGAGTCCACAGGTCTCACACCAGGTGTCAAAAGAAGTCATGGCACAAAAAAGGTCCAAGAAACCCCTATTTAATGGAGTCAGAACCTGGAGGAAGCAAATTCCTACTCCCATGTCTCAACTATCAGCTGACTTGTGAACACTTCCCCAGTGAAATGATAGTGAGCTCTGACTTCGGGGAAGAAATGCCAGTTCCTAGAATGCATCTTGGGTTAGACCTCTCACTTCACCTCCCAAGCTTCAAAGGTTCCTAGTACTATATCCAAACCTCAAAAGACTCCCTCTACGGGAGAGGGTAGGTGGGGTAGTAGCATTTTGGAGTGAGCAAAGGAATCCTTGCAATAAATACACAACTCACCAAGAGACAGGATGGTGACATAGGCCGGTCGGTCCGAGCGCAGCAGGGAGTGCTCTCGGGCTTTGTTGAGTGAGGTCTCCTTGTCAAAAACACCCTTCTCCGGCCCCACGACAGACTCAAAGCCATGCATGCGAAAAGTGAATGCCTTATGGGGCTGGCTGTATCTGTAGCGCTCCTGCAAAGAAAGGGCGGGAAGGCTCTAAAGTCAGAATCACGGGGCTCCTGCCGGTTCCTTTATAATCAGGGGATCTACCTAGAGGGATTGAAGTAGGTAGGAAGCACGAGGAATGCTGAGACTGGATGTGAGAAAGGATGATCCTCAGGGGTCGAGTCACTTAGCAAAAAGGCAAGAAGGTAAATATAAGAGAATTCTGCTCCCCTGGGAGAAAAGACAATCAAAGAATTCCTTAATCCCTTTCTTTATATAATTTCTGCCCCTCTGAGACAATCTCAACAAAGAGAACCTCTCAGAATTTCCCCCCCAAAAGTTAAACCCACAAAGAGTCAGTTACCCACGAGCTTCCTTCTACATGCCCCCATTGATGCAGAGATTAATGGGTCCCAGGTAGCTCTTTAATTTTTTTTTAACAGTGAGGTGGTGTTGTTTTTTAAATCATTTTATTGGGGGCTCATACAACTTTTTTTTTTTCTCATACAACTCTTATCACAATCTATACACACATCCATTGTGTCAAGCACACCTGCACATTTGTTGCCATCATCATTCTCAAAACATTTGCTTTCTACTTGAGCCCTTGGAATCAGCTCCTCACTTTTTCCCCTGCCTCCCCACTCCCTTCTCCCTCATGAACCCTTGATAATTTACAAATTATTATTAATTTGTCATATCTTGCACTGTCCAACATCTCCTTTCACCCACTTTTCTATTGTCCATCCCCCAGGGAGGAGGTTATATGTAGATCTGATTACAATAATCAGTTCCCCCTTTCCACCCCACCCTCATTCTACCCTCCCGGTATCGCTACTCTCAGCACTGGTCCTGAAGGGATTATCTGTCCTGTGGTTCTAGTTCCCATCTATACCAGGGTACATCCTCTGGTCTAGCTGGATTTGTAAGGTAGAATCGGAATCATGATAGTGGGGAGTGGGGGAAACATTCAGGAACTAGAGGAAAGTTGTATGTTTCATTGTTGCTACACGGCACCCTGACTGGCTCATCTCCTCCCTGCGACCCTTCTGCAAGGGGACGTCCAGTTGCCTACAGATGGGTCTTGGGTCCCCAATCTGCACTCCCCCTCATTCACAATGGTATGATTTTTTGTTCTTTGATGCCTGCTACCTGATCCCTTCAACACCTCGTGATCACACAGGCTGGTGTGCTTCTACCATGTGGGCTTTGTTGCTTCTGAGCTAGATGGCCGCTTGTTTATCTTCAACCCTTTAAGACCCTAGACACTATATCTATTGAAGACATTTCTAGCTAAGTAACATCTTTAGTATATGCTGAAAGCAAGCTGGGCAACAAATTCATGGTTCTTTCACAGGATGCACTTTAGAG